TCGCCGTGGGCCGGGAGTGGAGCCGACACCTCCGGTCCTAGCCGGGAGCAAGGGCAGCCAGCAGGGCCTCGCAGGCCACGCGCCTTTCTCTCGGGCCGCCGCAGGCGGAAACCACACTGCGGAAACTGGCGGGCCGGGAATCGTGGGGCCACAGTTTCTGCCAAACGTCTTCCCTCGATCCGACTTCTCCAGAATAACCTCGGCCCCCGAGCAGATCCTCCCCCGGGTCCTTTCCGGCCCTCCCGCTCCCGCTCCCGCTGGCCAGCTCCTCCCCGTACCCGGAGCCCTTCTGCTCACCCGCCCCGCGCGGCGAGCGGCGCACCTGCGGCGAGGCTGGAGCGCAGAGCGCGGTCCGCAGCGAGTGCGCCCGGCCCGGCGCGCCCGGACGGGGTTATAAGGCGGCTCCTGCCCGCCCCCGCTCCGTGTCCCCGACCTTCTCCGTAACCCCTGCCCTTTCCCCGCCACGGATCCCCCAGCAGAGTCCTATATTTAGGGAAACCTGAAGCCTCTGACATTCATGCCAGCAGGGCCTTCGTCGGGGGAGGAGGAGGCCGTGCCTACTCACCCGCGCTTCGGAGGAAGCTGCTTCCTTGGGAATCCAGACCGAGGCTCTCGGTTGTCAAGGGAAATAAATCTTTTAAGCAGGAACCTGTGGGGAGTTGCAAGTTGCAGGGCGTGGCCGTCCCTGCCTCTTTCCCTCCTCCCGACTGGGATTTTTTTTGGGGGGATACCGAGGACTGAACTCAGGACCTTGAGTTTGTGAGGTAGGCAGGCACCACTGAGCTAAATCCCCGGCTGGGGCTGGGAGTTGTAGAGGGAGAACAGATGCAGGCACTCACCTGTTAAAATAACCAAGAGTCCATGACAGGGTGCAGCTGGGCACCCCTAAAAACTGATGTTCACAGCTGGCTGAGTTCCATGACACAGTCTGTGGTGAGCAGCAGTGCCCCCCGCCCCCTGTGTAACAGTCTGCTTGAGGAAGGGAAGCTGGGCAGCGGCCCTCTGGAGCACTAGCCCCTATCCCGCCCAGCCTCCCCAGTCAGCCGCAGTCCAGCTGGCCAGGGGGTCCCAGTCCTGCCTCTAGGGAGCCAGCACGCGACTGCTGCGCAGCCAGGCCTGCCATTTGTGGTTCGGGTGGGCTGTAGTGAGGTGTCCTGAGAGCCCCCAGGCAGGGGGTGTGTGGGCCCAGGGGGGTGGCCGCTCCCCAGAGGGCAGGCCCCCAGGTCCTCATCGGAGCTTGATCTCAAAAGCAGAGACAGTTGAGGCTCTGGCAGTCGGGAAGTTGGCACGCACAAGCACAGTCACAGAATGGGCAGCAGCGAGGACAGCGGGGGGCCCAATCCTGAGGGAGAAGAGAGAGGGCGAGGTGGGAACTTCAGTGCTTCCCTCCAGGGGAAGCAGGGACAGGGGCTCAGGAGTCCCAGCTGCCCGTTGGAGCAGAGGGTACCTTCCACACTGCAGGGACTAGGCAGTCCCCGTGTTGAGCAATGCCCAGTGGGCAGTGCCCCGGGCAGTTGAGTCCAGGAGCAGGAAAGCCACAAGATCCAAGGTTCTCTTCTCCCTAGCATAGGGACCAGCTGGTCCCTGCAGGGATGTGGGCAGCCCAGGGTTCAGCTCAAGGAAGGGTCTACACCCTCATGGCCTATGTGACTAGGAGGAGTGGTCATAGAGGACACATTTTTCTGTCTGTCGTGCAAGTTATCCGTGGGTTTTATGGACTTTTTGGCATGAGACCACACTGCAGGGTGTTTTTTTTTGTTTTTTGTTTTGGTTTTTTGAGGCAGGGTCTCACTATGTAGTTGAGTCTGACCTGGAACTCACTATGTAGCCCAGGCTGGTCTCGAACTCCCAGCGATCCTCCTGCCTCAGCCTCCCAAGTGCTGGGATTACAGGCGTGCGCCACCACACCCAGCTCCGTGTCTTTCATTTTGGAGAACCAGCTCTGGACAAAGCACGTCACATTCATGAATGATTAAAGAACTTTCTTATTTTCTTTGAAATGGCAGTTCCCACATTCAAAAGTTTAATGTTTTTAAAAGAGCTAAATCTCTTCATTAGCAGAACCCTGAGAGTGAGCGTCTTTAAAAGGAAAAAAGAAAGAAAAAAGAAACAGAGGTTTAGAGGATGGAGTGACTTGTCCAAAAGAATAGAGAGAGCAAGGAGTAGAAGAGTGACCAAGGCTCGCTTCCCCAGGCCTGTGATCCCCACTTCTCTCAGGCCAGAGGCATCAGCTCCACTCTGGGGCAGCAAGAATAGAGACCACTGATCTGGAGTTCTCCACCCAGCTGATGGGGGACTCATGTCAGCAGGTGTCCGGGGTACAGATCCTTGCGGAATGAATGCATGAATCTGAACATCTCATTTTCCAGGCTTTGGGCCTCTTGGCTCTGAAGACACAGAAAGCCTGTCCCTTTGGGAAAGGGAACACTGTGTCCTTAGAGCGGGAAGGAAGATCCGGGCCCTCCATTCCACTGCTCTCTGCCCTGGGACAGGGTTGATCTGTGGCTGCCCCAGGCGTGAACTGGAGGCTGGCCAGGTGCTGGAGGAGACTCCTGTGTGACAGACTGGCTCTTTGCGGCCAGAAGCAGAGCTAGTGACAGTCACAGTGGCACAGCTCAGAAACTCGGCCAAGCAAGGAATAGGGGAGTGACCTTTACAACAGCTGAGGTTTCGGGGTGCAGTGTCAGATGACCTGTAAGATCGGCTGTCACTAGGGGCTCCAGCAAGGGGAGGGGATGAATCTGGCTGTGCTACTTCAGGGAAGGGGAGGTGGGCACTGGAGGTGTGATGGGGGAGACAGAGACAGAGGGGAGCAGGATTTTCATGTGTGTGAGGAGGTTGTGGTCCGGGGCTGAAGTGGGATCTGTGGGATTTGGAGGCTCTGAGACCCTTACCTCAGAAAGGCATTAAAACATCTGACTGTCCATGGCAGGCCCAGATCTGGTCCCTAATAACAGCCTATAGGCTTGACTCACAAACAGCCATGTGGTTTCTGGAAGGGTCTGCTGTTCCAGTGTATTAAACAACAGTTCAGGACCATTAGCCCCTGTGTTCATGAGCTCTTGGGTGCAGTTTTTCCTTTGAAAGTTCTGTCTGCCCTTGGGAGAGCCCCGAAGGTTCTCAAGTCAATAAGGCCTGCGTTGGAGCCTAAACTTGGATATTTATGTTCTGAGCCTCAGTTTCCCCGTCTCTGGAACAAATACAACAACCTCCAGAGTCACAGTCACTGTGGGAGTTGGGGAAGAACACAGCACAATGCTAGTGCCCAAGGAGCACATGGCAAAGTTGCCACAGTTCAGAATCCCCTGAACAATAATTCCCCACCCTGATGTTCACCAATTACGTGGAAAGTTGACTGTGGTCCCATACCAGACCTGGCGTGAGGGACCTACGGGCCTGGCTTTCCTTCTAAACCTATCTGCTTCTGATCCTGCACAGGCTGTGAATCAACTAACCACGTCACATCTTTCTCACAGGTTACTACAGTCACCTGTTTGTTCTGTCCTCAGTCCGTCACCAGAATGTGAGCCCGGGGTGGGGGCTGCAACTTTGTCTATCTTGGTTCTGCTGAGCCCCCAGGGTCCAGCACAGAGCCTTGAGAGTGACTCAGCTAGTACAGGACATGGCCAAATATTTAAATGAGTGAAAGGATTAGATCTTTACAGTGTGCCCGTGAGCAGCAGAGCAGGAAGATACTTTCCCGGAAAGGAAGGGAACTCTGGGTCTGTGGGCTGTCCAGCTGGCACAGCTGTGTGACCTCAGGCAAGGCACTCAAGTCTGTGAGCCTCAGTGTCCCCAAACGTAAAACAGGCAGGAGCTTTGTAACCTTCATGCCTGTTACTGTTACTATAAGGAAACTGGAGAACAGAATCACTTCAGAGTATTCTGAGAAAAGACAGCTCAAGGACAGGATGACTCTGCCCTACCCTTGGCCACTATGCAGCCCTTCCTGATCCCAGCTGAAGCCAGAGAGGCTCAGCTTGGAAGGCATGGGAAGTTCCTACAGCCCCGGACTGGCAGATGGGGAAACCAGACCTTCCTTACAGTGTTCCTCACCCTGTCCTCGAGAAGGAGCTGGATCCCTGTCTGTTCACTTCATGTGGACAAACAGGAAAGGGGTGCTTTATCCAAGATAAGGAGCCAGAAATTTTCTTAATTGATCATCTTGTATGAGACAGGAGTTGAGGGGTGTTTTCTTTGTTAATTTTACTTATGTTTGTTTGGTACCAGGGACCAAACTCACAACCCTGCACTTACGAGGCAGGTGTGGTGTTACTGAGCTAAATCCCTGGCCCTCTTTTTTGGATTTTTGAGGCAGGGTCTCCCTTTGGAGTTCAAGCTGGTATGGAACTCGTAGCAATCCTCCTGCCTCAGCCTCCTGAGTGCTGGGATTACAAGCATGCCTGGCTCAAGACAGGAGTTTTTAAAACCTAAGGTCTCCTTTTTTGCCTTTGTTTTCTCCAGCCCAACCCTGGGGCCTCTTCTAGCTACCCTCGGGGAACCAGAAGCTGATTATTTGAAAGAGGACTCCTTGCCCTACACTTTATTTTGAAACTCAAAGCATTTGCCAGGCCTTTGTACTAAGCACAGTTAGTCCAAGGAATGAAATTTCTTGGGCTTGGGCTCTGACCCCCACCCACTTCCTCCTAGGGAAGTCTCTACTCCAAGGGCAGGAGCTTTGCTGTCTAAATCTCTGAGCCCAAAATAACCACTGTCCGGGAAGGTGGTCGATCACACTGAACAACTCTAAACCCACAAATGCCCAAGTGGCCTCCTCCTGTATTCCTGGCTTCTCCCTTGAGGGCTCTGCTGCAGCTGATACTATGGAGCAATCTGCTGTGAGGCTGTGCTGGGTCACACTGGAGCTGCCACCAAACTCCCCTTAGCTAGTTATTCCTGCAGAAGGGACACAGTACTGTTTGTCTGTATGTATTATCAGGCATGGACCGGTGGTCATGGTGTGAGGTCAAGTTTAAAGAACAAATAGCAGTTGTGATGATACCACGGTGTGTGGTATGGCTCCATGTTTGCTGAACAATAGGAATGCACAGCTGCTGATAGCACTGTGTGTTAGTGTGTGAGGGATATATACTAATGCATGAGGAACAACTTGGGTTAGAGTTGGTTTAAACTGGGTGGGGTGTGGTGGTGCACATCCCAGCACTCAGGAGGCTGAGGTAGAGGATTGCCACAAGTTCAAGGCCAGCTTGGGCTACATAGTGAGTTCAGGGCTGCGCTGAACTATAAAGTGAGACTGTCTCAAAAAACCAAAAAAAAGGGCTGGGGATTTAGCTCAGTGGTGCCTCACAAGCGCAAGGTCCTGAGTTTGATCTGTGGTACCTGAAAGGGGTCTCGAGCCCCCTTTGGGTGCCCCTTGCCCAATTATGTCACTCACCCACCGAGAGGTCTGGCAGGAGATCTTTATTGTAGGGAGGCGAGCGGGAGGCAGGAAGGCAGAGAGTGAGAGAGCGAGAAGAGGAAGTACTGGGATACTTATAGGATGGGTAACGGAAGATCCTTCCTTGGGAGGAGCAGTCTTTGTTATCCTATCACAAGCCAGGTTGTCTTTTGAATTTCGCGCCTTGGAGAGGCTCTAGTTTCACGCTTTACAATTTAGGCGGGAGAAAGGACTCAGAGTAGGGAAAGAACCCGAAAGTAAGATATAAAATGGCTGGGGGGGGTTATATTTTAACATGTGAGATCTCCTAACAGTACCAAAAAAAAAAAAAGAACTGCCTTTGGTCAGGCTTTGTGGAGAGTTGGTTTATAAAGTAATTTGTACTTTCTTTGTCTTTCTGTATGTATACATTCTACACAATACTTAGTATAATCATAAAAAAAATTTTTTTCAAATACCCAGCTTGCCTAATTAGTATGTAGCAATTCAAAATTAACATTAAAAAAATACCCAGTTCTTAGATCTTTTTAGGAAAATAATAGTGCCAATAAAGCAGCACTGTTCTCTAGAACATATTTCCTCAGTGAGCAGAAGGTACTCTGTCAAGTTTTTTCTTTTAACTACCACTTTAAAAATTCTAATAATGCTGGGCGTGGTAGTGCATGCCTGTGATTGATCCCAGCACTCAGGAGGCTAAGGCAGGAGGATCGCTGTGAGTTTGAGACCAGCCTGGACTACACAGTAAGTTCCAAATTAGTCTCAACTACATAGTGAGACCCTGTCTCAAACCACCCCCAAAAAGTTCTAATTATGTGCCATGCACATCACATGAGTCACCTTTCTTCAGCTGCTGCCTTCTTTTCTTCAAGTAACTTCGTGAGCAGAAGTGACCTGATAGGTTCTTTGTGTTGTGTTTGGCGTCCTCCACATGACACCTGACCTGGAGCTGGTGCTCAGTAATGAATGCAAATGAGCAAAGAAAGCGAAGGCACAGATGAACCGGACCAGGGCTCAGGGGAGCGGGTAAGAAAGGAACTCACAAAAAACAAGAACCAAGACATGTCATGTGAAAGTGCAAGAGCCCAACGATAAATGTAACTGTATCATTTGCTTTAAATGTACCAAGAAATTTAATGGTGGGGGGAGAAAAAGAATGGAACTCACAGCTTCGCTGGGCTGGGGGCAGCAGGCATCCAGGTAGCTGGTGGGGCTTGGCACAGGGAAGTCACAGGCCTCAGCGCAGGTCCAGCAGCAGTCCTGGGGCTCTGAGGCACCTTGCTTCCTGCAGGGGCAGCTGAAGTCTGTGCAGCAGCCCTGGGCCTAAGAAAAGGCAGGGCTCAGGGTCTGGGCCAGGCAGCTGAGACTCACTCTCAGTAGGGGCAGGAGAAGGGTTGACTAGGGACAGGGAGGAGGGACTCACTCGTCCCACAAAAAGGGTAGATGCGAGGAATCAGTGGCAAGAGCACCTCAGGGTAAGAGCCTGCCGGTGAGAGGGCAATTCTGGGCTCCTTTTCCCCAGGGCCACCCCCCAGAGGCCCCTCACCAGCAGGCAGCGCCTAGTCAGCAGTACTAGGCTCAGCAGCAGCAAATAGATGCTCACAGTGATGAAGACAATGGCGGGGATGGGGAGCAGCAGGGAAGGGCTGCTGACAGGAGCCGGGGTTGGGTTCCACGGGCTAGTGGAGGCCTGGGTAAGCACAGGAGAAAGGGCGACAGGGGTGCGGGGCTGCAGAAACACAGGAATACCAGGAAGGACACGGGGCACCACCAGATGGTGGCAGTCGCTGGCTCATCACAGTGCCCCCCAAACCTGGCTTTCCTGTCAACCCCATTTCACGCCATAAGTACTTTTTGGTCATTTAGGATCTTCTGAGAGTCACTGCTCTTCTCAGAATGCGCAGGTGGTGGCACCACTAAGCTAAATCCCTGGCCCTCCAAATAGATTTGTCTCGAACTCCACTACCACGATTTTACCAATGCTCTGCCCACATCACTAGCCGGTCTTCCAACTGGCAACTTTGCCTCTTTCCACAACAGCTGTCCAGTAACCCTCCCTTCTTTACAGCCCACCAGCGACTCCCAAAGACCGGAGGAAAACTTCCTTCAGGGACAAAACCCGCCCAGCCCCGCCTACCGCGCCCGCTCTCCTCTGTCCTCCAGCCACACTAAGTCCCGCAGTCCGCAGATGCTCTGCCCTCATCCCCAGACCGGGGTCTTTGCCTTCTGCTCTGCCTGGTTCCCGGTCTCCCAGACCACTTGGTAAATTCCCTATCATGCAGGGAAACTGAAAATGCCCCCTATCCATCTCTGGCACTGTTTCTTTTCTTTTCTTTTGAGACAGGGTCTCACTATGTAGTTGAAACTGCCCTGGAACTCACTATGTAGCCCAGGCTGGTCTCGAACTCACAGCGATCCTCCTGCCTCAGCCTCTCAAGTGCTGGGATTACTGGCGTGCGCCACCACGCCCGGCAAGGCACTGTGTTTCTCACAGTGCTTGAAGGCCGGTAGGATGTGAAGAGCCCTCCCCTGACCGGGCTCGAGGCAGGCAAACTCGGGGTGAGCACAGGACGCGGAGGGGCTGCGGGGGGGACTCACGTCCATAGGGCAGGGCGGGCCTGGCCAGTCCAGGAGCTGCAGGGAGAGAGGGCCCTGGGCTCAGAGGCTGTGAAGGGCCGCGGGGCTGGGGTGCCCACGGTCCTCCCGCCTTTCGTACAGGGAAACTAAGGCCCAGGAAGGGGGCAGGGAGATTCCGGCGGCGCCTTCCTCACAGCCCCCGCCGGGCCTGGCC